AGAGAGAGAGAGAGAGAGAGAGAGAGAGAGAGAGAGAGAGAGAGAGAGAGAGAGAGAGAGAGAGAGACTCTCCACGAAGTGATTCTGACACGTGCTGCTGGGTTTCTTCTCTGGCTTTTGTCTTCCAGGAAATGGTTCAAGATGCACGCCCAGCTTTACAGCTCACATCACATGACAACATTACTCCCAACAACTGCCCCCGGAAAATAGCATCTGCGAAGCAGATTAGGATAGGTGCTGATTGCTCCATTTTTTCTATATTACAGGGCCTGCTTAAACCACCAGTACTTGGCCCAGCTATCGGCCGTGGAAAGAAATAGAGTAGAAACGTTTCTAGTCGGATGAATTTGGTCGCTTTTGACGTGTCCCGTACATTTCCTGAATTCGCGGCTTGTTATAACGGGCACGACTTCAGGAAGCACCATTGGTTTAATGACAGCGACACACTCTTATATATATATAATTGAAGGCCAAGGCCACTTCCAAACCAACTCCCCACGGTCAAGTCTCAATCACACCATCACACCATCTTCCACCCACCGAACAGAAACTCACACACACATACATCCACTTGCACACACACACACACACACACATACATCCACTTGCACACACACACACATACATCCACTTGCACACACACACACACACACACACAAACATACATCCGCTTGCACACACACACACACACATACATCCACTTGTGCACACACACACACACACACACACACACACACACACATCCACTTGCAATACACACGCACATACACACATACATCCACTTGCAATACACACGCACATACACACAGGACACACATACACACATTACGATTTTTTTCTGTGATGACGTAGTAAGAAGTGCACTCTATATATTGGTGTGAAGTATTGTTAAAATGGGCCTCTGGTTTTCTTATAAATGGACCTGAAAAATGGGTGCTCGGTTAACCTGCTCTCACACACATACACACCTACACACATACACACATACACACATACACACATACACACATACATCCACTTGCACACACGCCCATACGCACACACACATCAACTTGCACACACACACACACACACACACACGAACATAGAGAGAGTTGGATCTCAGCAAGTGAGCACCTGGCATAGGTATCACAAAACATTTTCAGCAAAACACAGAAAAAATCTTGAGCAAACAGATTCAAATTTCAAACAGATTACTTATTAAGGGGACGTCATTGTTTATCTTGCAAGCGAAGCTGCAACAGGTTCATCTAGTTGCGTCCATTGATTGAAATAATTATTTCAATTGATTAAGAGGATTATTTCCGTCTTGGGAGTTTATCCATTGATGCTCTTGCAGATTTCTTGCTTTTGTTCATGTTTTAGTGATTTATTGGTTTCTTGATTGTTTGATTGTTTGATTGATTGATTGATTGATTGATTGGTTAATTGATTGATTGATTGATTGATTGATTGATTGACGGAGGGGTTGGAGGGAGAGTTTGTTTTGTTTGTATTTTTGATCGATTTATTGGTTTATTGAATGGATGATTGGTTGGTTGGTTGTCTGGTTGATTGATTGATTGACTGATTGACTGATTGATTGGTTGATTGATTGGTTGATTGGTTGATTGATTGGTTGATTGGTTGATTGATTGGTTGATTGGTTGATTGATTGATTGATTAATTTATGACTTTGAGAGTTCTATAACTGTTTATCCAGTGACAATTTTTTGTGCACATGCTTTTTTTTTTTTTTTTTTTTTCCTATTGCCTTGAAAGACATCTTGGTTGTGGCTTGCATGCTGCCAGCGATTGCTACAGCGCCGCGACGTTTCCACTTGAAAATGAATTTATGCCAGCACTTGAGCCCCGTTCATTCCAGCGCGATGTTTTCACTTGAATGGATTTCCCAAAGTGGTTTAACTGAATGTTACCAAAATTGCGGCAATGTACATTCGTCGGAGCTCCTGTGTGTGAGTGTTGCCGTCAACAAAATAGAGGATCGAGGGGTATTGACCTATTGAAACTGTACTGAGGGGCTGGTCGTGTCAGTCGTCCTCCTCTTCCCATCCTCCAATCCTACTCCGCTCCTCCTCCACTCCTCTCCCTTCTCCTTCCCATCGTTCTCCTCGCCCCCTCCTCCTCTCGTCCTTCTCCCCTCCTTCCCTTTTCATCCTTCTCGCCTTCTCCCCTCCTCTCCTTCCTCCCTCCTCTGCTTCTTCCCTTCGCCTCCTCTCCTCCTTCTCTCCATCTCCTCCCCCTCCCCTCTTCATCCTTCTCCCCTTCTCCCCTCCTCGCACTCCTTCCCTCCTCCTCCTCTCCTCTTCTCCTCCTCCTCCTCCTCCTCCTCTCCTCCTCTTCCCCTCCTCCTCTGCCCCCTCCCCTCTCTCCCTCCTCTCCTCCTCTCCTCTCCTCCTCTCCTCTTGCCATCCTTTTCCTCCCTCGCTCCTCCTCCTCTAGTCTCCCCCTCTTCCTACTCTGTTCCTCCTTTTCTTCCCAGCCTTCTCCCTCCTCTCCCCTCTTCCTCCTCGTCCTCCTCTTCCTCCTCGTCCTATCTCCCTCCTCTCCTCCTCTTCGTCATTTCTGACTGTAGATTTCGATTACGGAGAGCATGAACAGTAACGAAAAATCCGGGCAAGTGGGACCTTAGACTGGGATATTTTGTTTCCGATTGTCGATCCTTCATTTCTGTTGCTCTCTCTCTCTCTCTCTCTCTCTCTCTCTCTCTCTCTCTCTCTCTCTCTCTCTCTCTCTCTCTTAGGCACGTTCACACACGTTCATCGTGTCTGTCTCCCTGCCTCTCTTTGTTTCCATCGCTGCCCCTCTCTCTCTCTCTCTCTCTCTCTCTCTCTCTCTTGTTGTTGATGTCAGTGGAGCGCGCGTAAGGGAGCAAGCATCCCATCTCTTCCCCGCTATAAAAGGCAGAGGCGTTGCTGACGTGTCCCGACGGCCGCCATGGTGGTGATGGGGGTCGCGATCCCGAACGATGGCGGGACTTACTATGTATGCTGACGTGGACAACATGATGGCAATAACGATCACTATCCCGGCCGAGGTTGGCCACGTGACGATCGCTATCCCGACCGCCACTTACTATGGATGATGACGTGGGCAAAAACAACAAAGGGGAAGAAGAAGAGGAAACCATCTGCATGATATGCCGAAGAAGCTGTCCCGAGCGCTGACGGAGGGCGGCGAGGAGGTGGAGGAGAAGGAGGGGATGGAGAATGGTGAGGAGGTGGAGGAGGAGAAGGGGAGTTGTTTTCGGGACGATGACGGCGACGATGATCGCTATTCCGACCGACCATTCCTTGTCGCTGTCCATGCTGGAGCCGGGTATCATTGCCCTTCTCGACGGCAAGCGTATCGGCAAGCCATGCACAGAGCATGTCTGGAAGCCGCCAGATTGCTTCACATAGATAGGAGGAGGAGGGATAGAGAAGGACGAGGAAGAGGAGGAGGAGGAGGAGGAGGAGGAGGAGGAGGAGGAGGGACAGGGGGAGGAACTGGAGGAGGAAAAGGGAGAGAAGGGGTCGGAGGAGGAGGAGGAAGAGGAGGAGGAGGAGGAAGAGGAGGAGGAGAAGAAGAGGGACGAGGAGCTGAAAGAGGAAGACATAAAGGACTAGGAGGATTAGAAAGGGGAGGCCATGATAAAGGAGGAGGAGGAGGAGGAGGAGGAGGAGAAAGGGGAGGACATGAAGGAGGAGGAGGAGCGGAAAGGGGAGGACATGAAGGACGACGAGGAGGAGCAAAAAGGGGAGGCCGTGGAGGAGGAGGAGGAGGAGGAGGAGGAGCAGCGGAAAGGGTAGGAGATGGAGGAGGAGGAGCTCTTGCTGCTGTTGTTTTGGCAATCAAAGTGCTCGAGGAGGACCCGTTAACCAACGCTGGCTATGGATCTAATTTGACAGAGGACGGTACTGTTGAATGCGACGCCAGCGTGATGACAGATACCATATTTGCTACTAGATTGGCAGCAAACGACAAAAAAAAAGCATTTGGTGCATACGACAAGAGCGTGTTTGGTGCAAACGACAAACGAGCGTGCGCCACTAGCGACAAAAGATCATTTGGTGCGGTGGGAACAGTTCCAGGGGTTCGTAATCCGATCGAATTGGCAGCGCTGTTGGCTCTTGAGAGCGCCAAGGGTCTTCTTCCTCTGGGGAGGGTGCGGCCTGTCTTCCTCGCTGGGGATGCCGCTAGAGTGTGGGCTCGACGCCATAGCTTACCTGCGGCAGCGAGCTCAGAGGAAGCACGCCATTGGCTGATTGCACCGAGAGCGAAGAAGCGGTGGAAACACTTTGACAGATTGATCAATTTGGCAAAAGCTGCAGCAGAAGACAGCAGCGCCAGCGGTGGCGGCAGCAGCCGCGACATTCCTTTTGCTCCAGCAGCTCCTGCTCCTGCTCCTGCTCCTGCTCCTGCTTGTGGTGATCCTAAGGCTTCTACTGTTCCAACCGGTCCAAAGGCTGCTGCTTTCGCAGTTCCAGCAGGTGCAACGGAAGCTGGTTCTACTGTTCCAGGTCCAAAGGCTGCTGCTTCTACTGTTCCAGCAGGTGCAACGGCGGCTGCTTCGACTGTTCCAGGAATAACGACAGGTGCAGAACCAGCTTCTGGTTTGAGAACGACGTCTCCTTCTTCTCGTGGTCCTAACTTGTCTGTTCAAGGTATAACGGCTGCTGCTTCTACTGTTCCAACAGGTCCAAAGGCTGCTGCTTTTGCAGTTCCAGCAGGTGCAACGACAACTGCTTCTCGTGGTCCTAACTTGTCTGGTCCAGGAACAACAACAGGTGCAGAAACTTCTGGTCCAGGGACAACAACGGGAGGTGGTGGTCCTAACTTGTCTGGTCCAGGAACAACAACAGGTGCAGAAACTTCTGGTCCAGGAACAACAACGGGAGGTGGTGGTACAGCACCTAACTTGTCTGGTCCAGGAACAACAACAGGTGCAGAAACTTCTGGTCCAGGAACAACAGGAGTAGGTGCCCAACAGACATCACTGCGGAGCAAGAGAAAGCAAGAAGAAGAGAACACTGGGAGCGAGCCCGTCAGGAGGAGGAGGAGGATAACGGATGGTGATAGTGAGAGTGGTGGTCCAGGGCTATGTCAAGCGGACTCTTTGAGAGAGAGAGAGATCTGGTCCGGATGGTGTAATGAGAACAAAAGGATGAAGGACAGCGACCTGAGAGATTGCTTTTCTGGAGATGAAGACAATGGTGGTGATGATGATGATGATGATGATGATGATGATGGTGAGGACAATGCAGAGGAGGAGGAGGACGATCGCATGGCTGACACTGTGGGAGCAGTGTGTATAGACTTCCAGGGGTCGGTCTCGGCTGGGGTATCAAGCGGAGGAATAGCCATGAAGGTCAGTGGGAGAGTAGGAGAAGCTGCAGTGCATGGATGTGGGTGTTGGGCAGAGTGTGCGGAGCAAGAGGAGGAGGAGGAGGAGGAGGAGGAGGAGGAGGTGGGAAGAGTCTGTTCATCCTCTTCCTTTTCCTCTATAGGCTGCAGCGTGTCTGGCGTTGGTGAGCCGATCATAAAGAGCATGCTGGCTATGGAGGTCTGCCGAGCCGTTCGAGAATCCGGTCAGGCTGGTGCGGCTGCGGCATGCCATGATGTTGTCAACAAATTTCTGAGGCGAATTCAAGCTGAGGACGTCCAGGCTCATGAAGGAGGAGGAGAAGGAGGTGGTGGTGGTGGAGGAGGAGGAGGAGGAGGAGGAGGAGGAGGAGGAGGAGGTAGGTCTCTAACTCCTAATGATGCTGGGGTGTTGCTAGTGATAGGAGATTGTGGTAGAAATGGCCTCGAATCTGCAGAACTTGTCGCTGTTCACACGTCATTGTCCTTTGCCATAGCGTACATGTCCAGCAGTATGAAAAAGCCAAAGACCATGATTCTGGTTAATGAGAAGGCTCTAGAAGGCAGGAGCAAGACTGCTATATCCACATTTGGAACAAGGGTGTCACTCTCAGATGGGAGAACGTGATTGACAACCACGATAAAGGCTTCTATGCTCTCTTCTCCTTCTCCGTCTTCTTCTTCTTGTGCTCGTGCTCGTTCTTGTTCTTGTTCTTCTTTGTCTTCTTGTTCTTGTTCTTCTTTGTCTTCTTGTTCTTGTTCTTCTTTGTCTTCTTGTTCTTGTTCTTCTTTGTCTTCTTCTTCCTTTTCTTCTTCCTCCTCCTCCTCCTTTTCTTCCTCCTGCACCTCCTCCTCCTCCCCCTCCTCCTCCTCCTCCTTTTCTTCCTCCTGCACCTCCTCCTCCTCCTCCTCCTCCTCCTTCTTCTTCTTCTTCTTCTTCTTCTTCTTCTTCTTCTTCTTCTTCTTCTTCTTCTTCTTTGTCTGCTCCTTATGAACTCTTCCTCCTCCTTTCTGCTCCTCGTCGTTGGTGTTGTGAGAGTGAATTGGGGGGGATGAAGGGAGGGGAATTGCCAATTATACATCACATGATTTCCCCAAGCTACCCCCAAAGACTGAGCCATGTGCTTGTGTCAGGATCGAGTTTTCCTTCTGCCAGCTTGAGTACTGCCACTGCCAGCACATGTCGGTGAAACGATCAGGATGTTTGCGTTTAGGGCATGCATCAGAGAGCATGAACAGGCCAATTCAGTTAAGAGAAACACTCCGTTCTTCTGAACAGTATCGATAAAAAAATAAAATAATAAACTCCATTCTCATGGAGAGGATTGACTGCCAGCGTACCTTTCTTCTAGAATTCCTCGCAGCGATGACGTACCAAAGCTGTCGTGTAAAAAAATAAAAAAAGAGAAAAAAAGAGAAAAAAAAAGAACAAGAAAAAGAAAAAGAAAAAGAAAAAGAAAAAAAAGCTGACGGCTCAGTTTGTAAATCAAGACTTCTAAAAGGAAGATTGGACAGTTCTGACATTGTCGTCCGCTCTTGTCGATGTAGGCTCATGAAGTCTCCTGTCATCTTGCCGGGGGAAAAGGAACCGTACTGACGCTCCACAGAATGGATATGGAGGCATGATGGAGCCAGGACCATAAGGCCCTTCTTGTTTTTTTTTTTTGGTTTTTTTTTTTAATGAAGAGCATAGAGAGAATTGCAGCTCCCGCATGTTCCCTCGTTGGAGGCTTGAGCACGGATGTGGCTGCTACGGGGTTCCCCGTAATACTATAATGACAAAAGAAAGGCCTGAAAGGCCGTCCTGTCCAGATTCGACAGGTAATTGAATTGGTTGGGCTTAAAAGAATTAGCTTAAAAAAAAAATTAAAAATATTTTAAAGCTTTCTGGGGACATCAACATTCTGCGTTTCTGCCTTGCTGCCAGATGAAAGGCGTCATCAGATGGGCAAAGCTCCTGATAGGGAAACCTTGCTCAGCTTCGTCTAAATGCTTATTCTAAATTATTTATAGTCACAAGAGTTGACGATATTGTGCCCGAGGTCGCGAGCGAGTATTCACTCCAGGGGGCATCATTCGTTAACTTTTTGGTGTCCTGATCAGATCGCAAGTTGAGCCCTGCGGCGGTGCAGCACGTCAGGAACGCTGTCAGGAGAAATCTTTAGGAAGAGGGAGGGTCTCTTTCCAGCAGGTGTGGCTCCCCACGAATGATGGCCCCTGGAGGAGACTGTCCTTGGGGGTGTATAGTCCCAAGAGTTGAGGATATTGTGGCGAAGGCGCCATCTTGCGTTTCACACGGGAGCCGGTGCAGCATGTCAGGAACGCTGCCAGGAGAAATCTTTAGGAAGAGAGAGGGTCTCGTTCCGGCAGGTGTGGCTCCCCACCAGTAGATGGAGCGGCAACCGCCAACGGACCTACTAGGGAAGGGGCTGCTCTTACCTCCTCCCTTAGTAGCATCCGGCGGACTCGTTAAAAGAAAAAAGAAAGAAAAAAAAAGTGAAAAGCAGGAAGAGGGAAAGTGACTGTGGTTACTGAGCGCCAATCGATTGAGGCAAGATAGGGGTATACGTGGGAAACAGGGGGGTTAGGGAACCCTATGGGGCTGGGTAGAGAAGAAGAGGGGATGGTGCAGAACAGATAGAAAGCGTGAGAGGGAGAAGAGACGGAGAAGAGCGAGCACCCCAAACCTTTTGGCTCCCTCCTGCTAATCCTAGTCTGATTTGTAATGCACGGGAGGGAGGGTGGTCTAAGTGTGTACTTCCCTGGCGAGAAACATCTGTTTTTTTTTTTGTTTTTTGTTTTTTTTTCCGGTGCCCCGTTACTGTTCCGGTGCTGATCCCCCCAAGTTATCTCAGTAGAAAAAGTTAAAAGTTGAGAATGCGTCAGCGAACACCTTGCCATCATGAAAACATCTTCCTGGGGGATGCATAGCGGGCCCGCAGGGTCAGCGAACACCTTCCGGTTACCATGTGGAGGCCCGCTATGAATCACCCCCGGCAGGCCCCCGGTCATGACCGGGGGCCTTCCTGGGGCGGGCAGTCGGGACCCCAACCGCACAGCTGCTGCGGGCGGCCGAGTTCTTTTTTTTTTTTTTTTTTTTTTTAAAAAAGGCTAATTCTTTAAGCCCAACCAATTCAATTACCTGTCAAATCTGGACAGGACGGCCTTTCAGACCTTTATTGTCGTTATAGTACTATGGGGAACCCCGTAGCAGCCACATCCGTGCTCAAGCCTCCATTGAGGCAACATGCGGGAGCTGCACCCACCAGCAGGTGGGCGATACCGGCCAGGGGTCAGCCGGTAGCATCAGGACCGAGGCCAGTCACTGTGCCTCTCCTCCGGTCCCCTCCCCCTATGAACATCAGCAGTCTCTGCTCAATGCCACTCGGGGGGACCAACGGCATATCTCTAGGTGGCGGGCGCCAAGCTTGCCCAGGAAGGTACATGAGGCCAATGGGGATTGAACCCAAGACCTCCTGAATGCCACTTGCATGCCTTACCAACTGAGCTAGGCCGCTGGA